TGGGTGTGGATGTGGGTGTTGGTGTAGGTGGGTGTGGATGTGGGTGTGGATGTGGGTGTGGCTGTAGAAGAAGACAATACCTACACCCACGCCCACACCCACACCCACACCCGCACCCCACACCCACCCACACCCCCATACCCACACCCATACCCACACCCACACCCCACACCCTTTCTATTCGTTTATTACTTCAATGAACTCATTTATTGAATATTCTCGATTATAGTGAAGAAGCTTGCTGCTCATCAATCTTATCGATTCGAACTCTTTCTTCATTAATTACTGATCTGTGTCTGACTGGTCAATTCCAATCCTATTATCATTTAGTCTCTCTCGCCATCAACTCTATGTCGAACATTTAACATCAATTATTATTCATCGACATCTGTGTCTTTTATTCGAACAAAGTCATATCTCTACACAGTGGGATTATCTTTGTAAACGCAATCAGTTATTATTATCATTAAAAAATCGTAGTTTAGCAAGTATATATTCAGATGAAAGTACACATTTACTTCTATTTTTAATTGAACAATTTCTTACTTTAGCATATTCAGCTGTTTGACGTCTAGCTCAATTAATTATTTGTCATCGAATTGAAATGATCTTAACTTTAGATGAACAAACATGAATTAATCAATTATTATTAAAATATTTCCCATTAATTTGAGCTGTCTTAGCATCAACAGAAAAACAAATAAAAACAAATATCATATTGAATGAACATCTTTGAGCACTTGTTCAACGTTTAATATCAAAAATTAATTATATAGCAAATATTTTTTGAGAAACAACTCCTAAATTAGATTGACAACATTTGAATACATTCGATGAAGATTTTATTCTCAATTGGTTACGAAAAATTCAATGTCTTTTAGATATAACACCGATAAATCTATACACAAATTCTCAAAACGGTTACCTAGAAGAAATTATTACCATTTCCCATGCACTGGTAAGTTTCTCTCCGAATAGCACATATCAATCAAACGAGAAATTCTTTCTCATAGGATTTTCTCTGCTCATCAATGGCACATTGTCTATGATTAGGTAGAAATCTTCTATCATTATGGAATGCGTCCAGAAGTGCTCATGTGAACAAGATAAATCATCTTTGTTTTTCTCTATCAATTCAACGATTAATTTCTGATCAGATTAATTTAGATGAAGATGATTCTACATGAGATTCGATCTATATTAAAAGTCTTGGTAGATGTGCTCATCAACAAGCTTATCTTCAGTGATTAATCGATTCAATATCAATTTATTTTCAAACAATTGAACAACATCAATATTTCACGTGTCAATTTTCATTGAATGATAGACGAGATTTACTTAGTTTGATTATTTTTATGCCAGAAATTATTTATATTAATCTCGTTTATAAGAATATATTTTTAAGTTCGAATTTAATTCAAAGGTTTTTTCATTGTTTAATTAAAAGAATTTTTCAATCAACATCACTTATTTATCATTGATTAATTGCACTTGATCAAATCCTATCATGTTCTACTTTAGCACGAACAATTCCACCAATATTTTACTCACTTTATTAACGTTATACTGTAATCATTACATCTTGACGAATTTATTAGAATTTTTAAATTTAATTGAAGCTGATCATCGATCAATAAGACAAACATTAATAGAAACATTTCAAGATTTTCATTATTTATATAATTTAACGAAAGAAATCAAATGAATTCCATCATTTTATCGATGACATTTACATACTATACCTATACTTTTATTTCGCTTACCAATTTTTAATTCATTCATATCTTTTTCAAGTCCATATTGGCAAGAACATCATCAACAAATGAAAAAAGTACTATTTCATACTGAAGATTTGGCATTATGATCATTTCCTGTTAATCTTCTTCAACATTCGAATATTATGCCTCATTATATTAAACGTATATCATTTGCTGGCTGTTTAGGAAACGCACAGATAGAGCGCATCGCTTTCACTGAGGGTGCTTGGAAAGACAGACACATTTGAAAAGACACACACAACACATTGATCTCACTGAGGATGTTAGAAAAGACGGATCGTTTGGGAAACATACACATAGAGCGCATCGCTCTCTCTGAGAGTGCTTGGAAAGACGGATACATTGGGAAACGCACAGATAAAGCGCATCGCTCTCACTGAGAGTGCTTGAAAAGACAGACACATTTGGAAACACACAGCACATCTCTATCGCTGAGGATGTTCGAAAATCGTGATTCCACATTAAAAGTAGATTCTTTGCTGTGTGATTTTGATAGAATTTGGGTGAACATCTTTGAATTTTTCATCTGCGATTCGTGCAGTGTGGAATCTGTTTTTTATGTGCAATCACGATTTCTGAGCACCCTCATCAGAGGGATATATGCTGTGTGTGTCATAAAGCTTTTCGTGGCACCCTCATCCTCAGGGAAGGATGCGCGTGTGATTCCATGACAGATGTTCCCCGGATAGATGTTCCATCCACAGTTGCTCCCCAACGATATTTGCTTCTGAGGCCTAAATCAAGCCCCAATCAAAACCGAAACTCAATCTCTGTCTCGCCCTCACCCACACCCTCACCCTCACATACCCTCGAGCAAGCAATTTATTAATAATTAGTATCTCTTTTGCGTGTTTTTTAATGGATATTATTGATTAAGGAACAAATTTCGTTTCGAATGACTTTTGAGAGTGAATAGGTTGGAGGTGAGTGAGTGCAGATGGTAGATATTATATTCATCTCACAATGATACTCATACATCCTAACGTTCACCCTCCGCAATCATGACGAATATAGATGAAACACTGTCAACAAACACATATACATATGTTGTAGGCAAGATTGGAATTCTAATAAAATAAGCATCTTGAGTATGACTGTGAATAATGGCTATGGCATCCACAAATATCTCAGACTCAAATATATCCATACCTATACTCGCTGAGATATCAATGAACTAGAATAAAGAATATATACATATCATTCATGAATTTATTTTTCATAAAGATTTTAATAAAATCTTTATTTGAAATAAACATAATTGTAAATATCACAAGAAATGAAGAAATTAGTTGCATCGAACATAGTTACAAACTTTACTGTTTATTAATATCTGAATGAATTTACCTTAGTGTTTCATGAAAACGAATTAACAAGATGAAGCTTTATCATTCTCAGTTGAATTGTCGATTTTATTGTTACAAAAAAAATGGATTTCTTTTCTTGTTGGACTAAATGATTTTCAACGTACAATTCGAACAATTTTTTTCACATTATACGCTTTCATATTTCTAATTATCGGTTTAAAATCATGACCATCGAAAATGAACATAAATGTATCGTTGTATAATAATAAAAGATAGATTGAATACAATTACATTAATTTGATGAGGTGGGTATGAGTGTGACAGGCGATCATAATTACCTCCATCCACATAGGAACTCACATTCACAAATTTATATCGAGGGGAGAGAAGAGCAGACAAACTAAAAAAAACAATAGTATGCAAAGAATAACAATTAGAAAAAGGGGAAGAGGAAGAGTGGACACAACGATGCAGCGGTCACCGCACGTCTAAGCAGGCAAAAGGTTAGACAATGCATTCGATAGGATTGCTTCCATTATTGGTACACTACAATGGACGCCAAAAGTATCGTCGCGCTGTTGTATAGTCCAGAATGCGTACTATATATAAACGTACATCTGTTTAAATCGGAAAATACTTAAATCTAAAATACATGCACAAAAAAAACAAACGTCAGTGGTAAGAAAACAATGACATAAAAAATTGTTAGTTTATGAGAAATGATGATAATTTAATGAAAATGGATAATCTTTATATCCACCTTATTCATATGTATTATTCATTTTTCCTCATTGTAACTAAACTTCAGTGAGTAACGAATGCTATCTCACTCTTTTTTTCATTCGTAAAATTTAAGTATAGGTATAACTATTTTGTCAACTAATCCTTTGTGTCCTACATCATCGAAATTGTTTTTGGTTTTTGATACATTGTAGATATTCGCTTCACATAATATAAAATCCACCATGTAATATTTTAGTATACTACATGTAATTCATTAAAAATAGTACGTCACTTTTGGAAATTCGAATGACAAAAATAAATAGTTTTTTGGAAGTGACATTTCTACAGCGTTCCGTGAAGTGTATGATCTAAAGATTTAGAAACCATTCTATCTGTTTTATGACAACTTTTTTCCTAACACAGAAGATATTCAAGAATTTTTTTATTTTAAAAAAGATATATAAATATAGTACTCAATCCCTACTATGGAGATTTTGTAGTTTTAACACATGATCCAAAACAAAAAAAGTATTTTGCAAGATTTTAGACGTGCATTCTATATTCAAAGTACATCAGAAACTTTCAACTATGGTCTTCAAATCATCAGTGAGTGAAGTGTTGTATAGATTAGATAACATGGAAAATTTAAATGACATTCTAAACTTTCTAATAAATGAAAATCTTTGATGTCCGACAGAAACTAAACTATAGATGGGTAAGTCAAGCCACAAGTCACTTGACTTGACTCGACTTGAGAATTTTTACGAAATGACTTGACTTAACTTTTTATCTACGGTCAAGTCCAAAAATCTATACAAATATAAGTCTTTATTGCACTCCAATTTTGTTTTCTACAGTCTGAAATATATTAGAAAAATAGAAATCAAGATAACAAACATTTTCATAGTAACTTGAGTCAAAAAGTCACTGCTTGCCCATCTCTGAACTAAACATAAGTGTTTTTATTCTCTTTAGTTTGAATTCAAGAATGACTACAAAATTTGAACAGTTATCAAATGAATTAATATTAATTTGTTTTTCATATTTCGATTTCTATGAATTATATGATCTATTCTTTAGTTTAAATCAACGTTTTAATCAATTAATTCAATATCAAACAAAAATGCACATTAATTTGTCTTCAATTCCATCTGGAAAATTTTTTACATTTTTTTTTCACTTAAATCGATTCATGACAACAACTCAAAACTATCCATTATCAATTATAGCTAATGATAAATGCGAACTTAATGTAATATTACAAGATGATTTGTTTAAAGAAAAGTTTTCTAAATTAAAATCATTAACATTAACAAATATGGATGTTGAAGCTATCTATTCTATAATATTTGAAAAAAAAGCAGAATTATATAATAGTTTAGAACGATTAACCTTACTAGAAATGGATCGTACAGCAGATGGTGGAAGATTTGCAATAGAAAGTAAGAATAACAATTTCAATTTGATTAAGAGATACAAAAAAAGAATTTTCGATATTAGATTTATGTGATAGTTTAATATCATCAAAAATGAAAATGTTAAAATATTTGAATTTAAATTTTCAAAGATTTTCGTGCAGATGTGGACGTTGTTCGTTCGAACATGACAGTATTACTTATTTATATTTTAATGTATTAACAAATAGAGAAGAAAAATCATTAAGTTCTTTAAAGACAATTATTATTGGAAGTAAGTTATTTTAATTCTAGAATCCAAACTGAGATTATGTCCAATCACGAATTTGGGATTGGACCTTATCTCTGTTTGACCGTTGACATTTCTATCACTTATATCTATAGATATCTCTGATGATGATTATTGTTATTCCAATACAACAGTATGCTTTTATTCATTGATTACAGATTTATTACCATGTCTACCAAAATTAAAAAAATTAATTATAAATTCAGTTCATTTCGAAGATTACGACTATAACCAAAATCACAAAGTATGTGAAAAGTGTTATTAGGTTTCTTCAGCGGTCTTTTCAAATCTGTATCAAGTAGTCGCACGAAGAAAACGAGATGATCTTATAAGAGTGAAATAGCATCTGCCAGATCGAATTTATCAGATAGAGTTTCGACATATTTCGATATAAATTATTAGGAAGCAACTTTCTATTAAATTTATTTATAATAGGAATTATCGATCACAGCAGCGACGCCAATTTCACCATTAAATTTAAAAGTAATTAAAATCTGGATTAATAGATATGCTGACCATCGAAATGATGAGAAAATGTATATAAATATAATACAAAATTTCTTTACAAATAACAACTCATCTGATATGTCAACAATTAAAATATTCACTATTAACAATAAAAATGTTTTATAGAACTTCATCTGTTTTAAACTTTTGACTTTTTGGTCTTTTTATTATGAAGAAACAAATCTTGAGAAATTCTTTGTATATATTATCGAATAAAGGAGAAAAATAAATAAAACATTTGCTACTCTTCTTATCTATGAAATTCATTTCCAAATAATGGTCAACTAGTTCGTTTTCAAAAATTACTGTTTCCTAATGACTAAATTGAGAGAAAGTTAAGGATCTTCTCCTTGTGAAAATCAATATTTGATGATCGCTTTTTATTTTCGTGTGCGTTTCAATTTCAGTTTTTGTAGCATTGTTTGCTTCAATAACTCGAACACAAAGGAGAAAAAAACCGATCCTAATAGCTTATAGAACTCATCGGAATCTACCAGAAAGGTGAGTGTCAGTAGATAATTAAAGATATAAATATCCATACCTACACTCTCATAAACTGTAAAAAAAAAGTGATGCAGGTGCGAGTGTGGGTGTCAGAGATGAAGATACCATCCATACCAATCCATCCTCATATAGATAAGACTCATCGATTTCAAAAGTTTTGTTCTTGAATCTGGCTGATTAAATGATTTCTTATTTCGGATATGGACCATAGTTTTTATATTTGCACCAAAGTTCTTTTCGAACTGAATTTGATGGACGCTCCAAAAATTCGAGATCCTTATTTTCCTGTATTTGTATCATTTACTGGGATATTTCCTATGTTTCTCCGATAATCTTGATAGTGATCTTTTAATAAGAACGTTATATTGGGTTTCCAATTCTGACTAGAATTCGCCAGATTGAAAATCTTGAGGGTGAGGATGTAGGTATGATAGGTGATTATAATCTCCCCATCCACACCTATGCAGAGAATAAGAATAATAAAAAGGGCAAGAGGAAAAACAGACATGACGATGCAGCGGTCGTCACACATCTAAGCCGGCAAAAAGTTAGTCAACTCGTTCGACGGAACCGCTTCGATTATTAGTACATTACAAGGGTGTGGGTGTGGGTGTGGGGTGTGGGTGTGGGTGTGGGCGGGTGTGGGTGTGGAGTGTGGGTGTGGGTGTGGGTGTGGGTGTGTGGGGTGTGGGTGTGGGTGTGGGTGTGGGTGTGGGTGGGTGTGGGTGTGTGGGTGTGGGTGTGGGTGTGGGTGGGTGTGGGTGTGGGGTGTAGGTGGGTTGGTGGGTGTGGGTGTGGGTGTGAGTGTGGCTGAATAGAATACTATGACCCACAACCACATCCCACACCCACCCACACCCACATCCACACCCCACACCCACACCCCACCCACGCCCCACATCCACACTGACACCCACACCCAATTTTCATTGACAAGAGACGATTGCAAGACAAAATAGGTGTGACATTCAGAATCAGCGTCAAAACTACATCGAATCGAATAAATTCTATAGAATTTTTTTTCTATGAACAACTGACTCCTGGGGACCACGGGGGCAAAGTTTTAATAAAATATAGCCCTGAGAGACCACAGATGATTTTTCATAGAAAAAAATGTCCCTAGAATTTATTCGATTCGATGTAGTTTTGACGCTGATTCTGAATGTCAGATTTATTTTGTCTTGTAATCGTCTCTTGTCAAAGAAAATCGCTAAAAATGTTATGTTTCTTTTGAAAAATCATTAGAAATCACTATGAAAAATATATTTGTGAGCCCTGTTTCGCCTCAAAGGCGAACTTCTTTTTTCTATATTTTTTACCATTTTGTAGAAAATCAAAAGTTGCATAATATATCAAAAACTCAGCTTGGTCTGGCTAGATTAAAAAATGGCAACAGGTATATTGCCAAAAATCGACCGTTATGGACTCATGAATTATGATCTTTCCCGCTCATATTGCACTTCAGAATACCAATAAATGGATAATATACAATAGTTCAAATATCTTATTTTTTTCAGCGATTGAATCTCTATCTATTAGTATATTGCACGGAAAAAATCTTCGATTTACCTAAGCATAAGCCTAATAAACATTTATCGTGCTATTTTTTATTATTATTTTTTTTTGATAGTACGTTGATAGTGCTCTAAAGTCGGTATTGGCTAACTTTACTATAGTACATCTAAATGAGCTAAAAATTTAGGTTTTGTGGTTTCAGATTATGATCTTCAAACGCAGAAAAAAAATCTAAAATCTAAAATTTGACCAGTACTTCGTATACTGGAATGATCGTCAGTGTTTTTCAAACTTTAGACAAGAATATCTGACGAAAGTTAAGCTCTTTTTCCATAAAATTTACATATTATAATTAAACAATCAATCGTTTGACACCTTCTCTCTCTAAAATGATCTTTAGTAATAACTTTAGAAATTCCTTCTTCCACCGACCTTCCTAACTGATCAAATGATTACCAAACAACCTTCTATACGTGTCTATAAAATAACATAAGTCACTTATGTACAGTCCAATCATCTGACATTTTCGTAATGCAAAATATAAAAATAATTTTATAATCATTCTTGTTAAATATGTTCTCATGTAGATTTATATAATTAGTGTCAATTTCACCTTTATATGGTGAAAATTCGAGCCTATTTAGAAAAGCTTTTATTCTTTTATTATAAATTTCTTTGCTGTTTTTTTGTTGTGACTGTTTCATAATGACTAACTTTTGTATACACTTTTTTCTTGCTTTACCGTATTGAACTGTTGCTCAATCGCTGCTGAAATATGAATTGAGAATTATCGTTCAGCAAAAGTTTTGAAGAAATTGATTATTATTCTACCTTTTTATCAAGTAACATATAATCCGTGTATTGTTCGTGTTCATGAGACTGTGATAGAGTATTTATCAATGTCTTTTGTTTTCTTTTTGCTATTCTGATTTGTTTCTTTTTCTTATCGATTTTTGTGATTCAGAGAATGAAGTGAATATTGGCATCTTTATTCGATTCGATCGACTCAATGAACTTCAAACTTGATTCGATTCAGCCAAATCGAATCGAAGTATTCGTCGATTAGATATGATTTCGGTGTCTGTCTCATCATTTCATTTTTCTATACAAGGGTGTGGGTGTGGGTGTGGGTGTGGATATCTTCTCAACACCTACACCCACACCCACACCCACACCCACACCCACACCCACACCCACACCCACACCCGCACCC